TCCTCCTTCCTCCCTTTTTTGAAGATGGGGACCACATTGGCCCTTTTCCAGTCCTCCGGCACATCGCCCAAGCGCCATGAGTGCTCGTAGAGCTGTGCCAGAGGTCCCGCAATGACCCCTGCTAGTTCCTTCAGCACTCTGGGGTGGAGATCATCAGGACCTGCAGGTTTAAATACATCTAGTCCCTCCAGAAGTTCCCTGACAAGGTCCTCATTAACCCTAGGCCTGGGTGTTCCACCCACAGGGCCCTCGGGGCGGGGGGGGAATATCCGGGTCCCTCCTCAGAAATACAGGGGCAAAGAAATTGTTGAATATGTCAGCTTTACCGTCAGGTGAGATGACCAGATTTCCTAGCGTGTCCTGCAGAGGCCCCATGTTACTTGGCACCTTCTTTTGCCCCCCCTATGTATTTGAAAAAGGACTGTTTGTTGTCCTTGATCTGGGTCGCTAGTCCCAGCTCCATTTCCGCCTTGGCCTTCCTGACCACCCCCCTACATTCCTGAGCTACCGAGATATAGCTCTCTCTTATGATGGCCCCTTCCTTCCAACGGGTGCATGCCTCCTTTTTTGTTTGGAGACATTCCTGGGTGCTTTTGGCGAGCCATGGGGGCCTTTGCACCCTCTTGCCCCCTTTGATCCGTGAAGGGATTACTTCCCTTTGAGTTTGGAGGATCATTTTAAGGAGCGACCACTCCTCCTGGACACTCAACTCCCTCCAGTGTTTGTGTTCAGTTCAATTAAATGTGTAGAATTTCTCAAATAAATAAAGTGAAATCATAGTGCGACACCAGGTACTCAGTGTGGACAGGATGATTATGTACGCAGGTATAACTTTCATTGGTTTTGTGTAGCAGTGTACATTATGCCAAGATTGGGAATGTGGAAGGTGTGCAGTCACCTTGAAGTAGCTTTTGCAGCAGGTGGCCTTTACTGTGCCTTACTGCTAGGTACTAGAGGAGGAGCTACTAGACCTTTTTATTTTAAAGCAAATAGATACCCAGTAGTGTTTTGCCCCCTGCCTCTTCAGAAGGTGGAGTGAAGTTATCCCAGTTCAGTGGTGACGCGTATCCCCTGAGAGCACTGGTGTACCCCCTGACAGGCCGTGCTCCCCGCTTGGGAGGGGGCAGACGGGAGCACTGGTGCCGCCCCC